GAGATGTGATATGATTCACCATGGATGGCCATCTGCGATGAAGACAAGAACGTAGCGTTTGGACATCCATCTGCGAAGAAGACATGAACAAAGCACCTGGACGGCAGGCCTGGATGGTCATCTGCGATGGCGAATCTGGAGGGTCATCTGTGAACTGATGAAGCTTGGAAGAGCAGGGAACAAAGCAGACGCCGAGTAAATAAAAGAGCAATTAAGAGGGCAGCGGAGGTTTTAATTTGTAACTTGTTTTAACACATAACGGTACCGTTCGGGGATCGGTACACCTTGAGGATGGTGCACCGATCCCACGGTATAATTTGCCCTCTTATATGCGGGGAAAATAAATAATATACTCCGAACTTTGCCTTGGTGTGAGCTCCCCACCCCAAACTTGTGATAGTTTAAAAAATACCCTCAACTTTATTTATTTAATATTTTTGTACCATATTTTAATAAACAAATAATATTTCTCAAATTGTAATATTTTTATTAGATTTAGTTGGCAAAAAAGATGTGTGATTCCCAAATTAATGTGTGCTTTTCAAATTGATTAAATAACTTCAAAATCTCTAATTTAAGTACAAAAAATATGTTAATTAATCTTTTTTTGCCAACTAAATCTAATTAACATATTATAATTTGAGAAATATTATTTGTTAATTAAAATATGGTACAAAAAATTTAAATAAATAAAGTTGGGGGTATTTTTTAAACTAGGACAAGTTCAGGGTGGGGAGATCACACCAAGGCAAAGTTCGGGGTATATTATTTATTTTCCCCCTTATATGCATACTTGTTTATGTTGACTATTCTTTAATCCTCGTAATAGGCCTTAATATGGAATCTGTATCAAGGTATTATGGATTAATTGATTTTCCGTCAAAGACTTAGGACGTCTAAAATACTTCATGGACATTGAAGCTCCTCGGATTCAGACACACACATACACACATATTTCTTTGACTAGCTTTCAAGCCCGTGTGATGCACGGACAGATGTAATTTAACTAATTTGAAATTTGATTTCTTTCGGATCATATGTAATGTGATTTAAAAGAAAAATAAACTTAGTCTAATATAGAGCCTGTTTGATAATACTAAAATAAATTTAATTAGCTTATTTTACTCAAATTGATTAAACACTACAAAAAAACACGCGTTTAGTCACGGACCGTAGTCACGGATTTGGTCCGTGACTAGTTTAGTCACGGACTAGTCACGGAATTTTTTTAAAAAAAATAGTCACGGTCTTGACCGTGACTATGGCCGTGACTAAAATTAGTCACGGTCTTCGCCCGTGACTTAAGTCCTCCGATAGGCCCGTTTCCGTTTCCGGCAAAGCTTATTTGATCCCGATGACTTAGTCACGGCCACATCCGTGACTACAGCCGTGACTATGATTAAAAATTTTATTTTTCCACCTCCCTTAACTTAATGCGCACCGGTATTATGTACGGATAACTTTAGTCACGGCCACGTCCGTGACTAGTTCCGTGACTACTTTGATTAACACGTCATTTAGACGTCATTAACACGTGTTGGACGCGTATTGGACACGGTTTTGCTTAGTGACGGACAAATCCGTGACTAAGTCCGTGACTAAATTTTATATATATGCAGGAGCAGCTCATTCAGCAGAACCACACCAATTCATTCCCAGTATATACAGTATCCGTTTGAAAGATCGAAGGATGTAGTCTATCTTCTATCATTTTCCTTGTTTATGCAGATAAGGTATGTTATTTGAATTATAATTTTTATTTAGACTCAGTTGGTTCAATTTAAATTATTAAAACTATTAAATTAGTGAGGTTGTTAATTAATTAACAACATGTTTTAACTATAAGCGTAGTAATGTCATAAATTAGAATTAGTTAAACTTTTAGGTTTATAAAATAATTTATTTAAAATTAGTTAGCTAAATGTAGTTTAAAACGTAATGATGTTTATGTTAAGTGAAATTAGTTCAAATAACGTACGTTAGTAATGTGTTAATTAAGTGAATTGTGAATTGTTATTGTGAATTGTGTATTGCTTATTAATTCAAATGACTTTATATACATGTTCAAATTATTGGGTTGAATTTGGTCATATTATTTAATTTAGTGAATTGTTAATTGTGTATTACTAGTAAGATTAAATGTCATTAACTTAATAATTTATTGTAGGTTTAAACGTAGGTTTACAAAAATAATTTAATTCAAATTCGTTTGCTAAACGTAGGTTAAGTTTGAACGTAGCTATTGATGTGTTAATTAAGTTAAATTAGTTAGCTAAACGTAGGTTTATACGTAGTGATGCACTAAAAGGGGACGGAATTAAGTAGTTAAATTTAGTTAAATTTAACTAAATGAATTAGTTAAATTTAATTAAACGTATGATTAATTTAGTGAAATTATGTGCATTATTGTGCATAAGGGGACGTATATTTTGTGCATTATTGTTGTGAATTCTGTGCATTTCATTTAATTTAGTGAAAATTAGTTGATTATATTTAGTGAAATAAATTACTTAAAATTGTGTGCATTGCATTTCATATAATTTTTTATTATAATATTCAGGCATAATGTATAAACAAAATAGAAGTTGGATGTATGATAAAGTTGTGGTATTGTACGGAATGCAATCAAATTTTCTCGAGGGAGTCGGGGAATTTATTGAATTTGCACTTGAACATCCGGCTTATATGAGTGGTGATAAAATAAGATGTCCATGTTCAAAGTGTAAAAATCTCAAATTTAAAGACCCACACGAAGTTGGGTATGATTTGTACGCGGTCGGTTTTGTTCCCAATTATTATAATTGGACTTCTCACGGCGAACCTTTGGATCCATCTGTTATACCACAAACGGTAGGTTCGTCTCGTTACGTCCCTCCAGAGATGAGTGCGTGGGGAGACCGTGCTGAAATGAGGTGGGACCAACAAATGGTATATGACGCATACGGTGTACCGTCTCAGTTGAACCCCCCACAACCATCTAACGACCACCCTGAAGCCTCAACCTCGTATCAACCAGATGCGGATGAAAATCCGATATTTTATCAACCTTATGTGGATGAAGGTTTGGCTGAGAGATTTCAGGATGTTCTAAAAGCTGCCGACCAACCTCTGTATGCTGATTGTGAGGGATACTCTCAGCTATCCGCTGTTACTGAGTTCATGAACATAAAAGCCGAATACAGTCTCCCTGAAACTTGCATGAATAGAGTCTTGCAGTCAGTAGGAGGGATGCTACCGCGAGATCATACCCTTCCCGATTCATATTACCACATGAAGCAGTTAATATCTAAGTTGGGGCTACCTTGTGTTGAAATTGATGCGTGCCCGGAAGGATGTATGTTGTTCTGGAAGGAGGATGAGGCACTTGAGTTCTGCAAGTTCTGTGGTGGAGACAGATACAAACCTGTTCGGCAAGGTAAAAAGAAACCACGACATAGGTCTGCACTGTCTAAACTATATTACCTCCCAATAGCTCCTCGACTGCAAAGGATGTACGCTTCGACTGCTACTGCGAAACACATGACATGGCATGTTGAGCACGAAACCAACGAGGGTATGATGGCTCACCCTTCGGACTGTGAATCTTGGAGACACTTTGACCGCTGTCATCCTCAGTTTGCTATGGAGCCACGAAATGTGCGGCGGGGATTGTGCTCAGATAGATTTGCTCCTTTTGGCAGGTTTGGCAAGAACTATTCATGTTGGCCGGTCATGTTAACTCCTTACAATCTCCCTCCCGACATGTGCATGAAAAGTCATTTCATCTTTTTGTTTTTAATTTGTCCGGGTTCCAAGGATCCTGGGCGAAAGATAGACATTTATCTTCAACCCCTTATTGAGGAGATGAAAGAACTGTGGGCCGTTGGGACACCAACTTATGATGTTTCATCAGATAAAATGTTTATCATGAAAGCTGCCATCATTTGGACCATTAGCGACTTCCCTGCCTATGGCATGCTTTCGGGATGGAGCACACACGGTCTGATGGGATGTCCGATATGCATGGAGAAATCAGGTGCCAACTGGCTCAGTTACAGCAAAAAAGGAAGTTACTTTGATTGTCACCGCAAGTTTCTCCCGGAAAGGCACCGATATCGAAAGGACAAGAAGTCTTTCATTAGAGGCAGAGCGGTACGAGAGAGCCCACCCCCGAGATTGACCGGTGAAGAAATTTATAACCGGGTTCGACGTTTTCCTACGGCTATGGAAGAGCCAAACCAAGAGCCATATGGGTATTGTGATACCCATAAGTGGACAAAGAGGAGCATATTCTGGGAGTTGCCTTATTGGAAAGACCTTCTCATCCGTCACAATTTAGATGTCATGCACACTGAGAAGAACGTCTTTGACAATATATTTAACACTGTGATGGATTTGAAAGGCAAAACTAAAGATGGTCTTGCAGCTAGGAAAGATATGACTATTTGGTGTGATAGACCCGAACTTTCTGTTGATCTAGAATATCAGGGCAAGGAAGTTCCAAAAGCAGTCTACCAGGTCACAGAACCACAAAAGGCAGCAATATTAAAATGGCTTGCGTCTCAGAAGTTTCCAGATGGCTACTGCTCCAACTTGTCTAGATGCGTAGACATGAACAAACTTACCACGACGGCGAGCATGAAAACTCACGATGCTCATGTAATAATGCAAAGACTTCTACCAATTGCACTAAAAGAGATGCTCCCTGAACACGTATGGTCCTGCATTACTGAAATCAGTTTGTTGTTTCAATCGATATGTTCCAGCGTTTTGGATGCGGCATCCCTCCGGAGACTACAAGAGTCTGTTCCCATTCTGATGTGTAATCTGGAAAAAATAATGCCACCATCGTTTTTCGATACAATGGAACATCTCATAATACATCTTCCGTATGAGGCTTTGACTGCTGGGCCCGTCTTCTATCGGTGGATGTACAGATTTGAAAGGTTAGTCACAATTTCATTTAAAAAAAAATATTTATTTCACAATAACTGTTAACATGTGTATTATTGCCTTATTGCAGATTTCTAGGAGAGCTGAAAAAGAAAGTGACCAACAAGGCACACGTTGAGGCTTCAATTTGTCAAGCGTATCTTCAACAAGAAATCTCAACGTTCTCGTCTTTTTACTTCGAGCGTGACGTCATCACCAGAAGGAAGAGACCTGCCCGGAACGATGACATTGGCGAGGATTTATATGAAAATGTAGTTTCCATCTTCAATTACCCAGGCAGAGGTAAAGGTGCTGCGACACAACGATACATCCTGGGTGGGGAATTGCAAATTGCGCATACTTATATCCTCATGAATTGTCCAGATATCTCACCGTTTTATCAGTAAGTTAAATTTGTAGTTATAATTGTAATACTTATAAATTAAATTTGTAGTTAATTTATAGTTTTTTTTTGACTTCACAGTGAATTCCGAGCTTCTTTATCAGCCTTTCCTGAGAATGAAATTGATGCGTTGGTGGACTCTGATTTTGTAAATTGGTACAAGTATATATATACACACACTATTTATATATATTACCTAATGTTTACCTAATGTTATTATTATGTTTATATTTACAGATCAATAGTCGTGGGATTGTCGACCCTTTGTTAGTATCATTAGCGTGGGGCCCAGGTGCCAGTGCCAAAGTGTGGCGGCAATATGTGATAAACGGTTACACATATCACACAGCCGATTACGGAGAGGGCCGACCAACAACGAACAGCGGGTTATGTGTCCCGACCATCGGTTATGATAACTCGGAAACCAATTTTTTTGGTGTCCTGCAGGAGATTCTGGAACTTGAGATGCCTTCTGGTGCGAAAAAATTCACATGCGTTCTGTTCCGTTGCACATGGGTCGACCCCACACGTGGCGTGCGCAAAAATCCGAAGTATAATATGATTGACGTCAACCTCTCTCGTGTGTACCCGAAAAATGAGCCTTTCATACTCGCCCAACAAGCAGCGCAGATTTATTATGCAGAATATCCTTCAACAAGGCGGACACAGAATCCTTGGGTGTGTGCATGTCCTGTCCGTCCGAACAAAATAAAATCACAAACTCAACACAAGGACGTTGATCTAGATGCTTTTCAGCAACAATTTTTCCAACCTCCGCCTATTGTTGAGACGGTCAACTATAACGTCCAATTAAGTGATCCAAATGGCGGACGTGTTGAAGTCATGCCAGAAACGCACCTTCCGGACCTAACCATTCCATCTGAGCGCGAAATTGAGGAAATGTATGTAGCACAACAAAATGCTCAATATCAGGAAGAAGGTGAATGGATAGACGGTTCAGATACAGAAGAAGACACTATATATGTAGAAAATAACGATTCTGACAGCGAGTAATTGTGTTGTTGTAATTTCAATTTTGTGATATAATTTCTCCAAGCATATTTGATAATTTCTTTCATCATTATTGTTTGTAAAATAATTACTCCTTAATCTGTTCTATAGCACATAAATTCAAAGCAGTTTATTTAATACTCCACAGTCCACACTACAATTACGATGGTATTAATAGTTATTCATATAATTACAATAGTAATAATAATAATAATAATAATAATAATAATAATAATAATGTTAATAATTATATTAACATTATTTATAATATTATAATAGTAATATAAACACAATTAATATTATTATAACGATATAATAATAATAATAATAATAATAATAATAATAATAATAATAATAATAATTATTAATAATAATAAATCATGTCTGAATTTTTCTGATCTGATCTGATTTGAATAAAATAAGAATAAACAATAAGTAATAACTAACACAAAGACGAACAGAACAACACCTTATTCATTTTTCGGTTCAATAAGTTGTGTACATAGTTTCAGACGACACATTCTTGTACGCATCATATCTCAGTCAATTGGTTCTTTATTAGTCATTTTTTAGCATAAAATGCTTGGGTGGCAGGAAAATGAAATTATAAATTTAATAGTCACGGTTGTAGTCACGGTCAGGACCGTGACTACACCCTTCGTAAATGCCGAAGTCAGGCCTGACGGTCAGAGGGGCGCTGACCACAATAGTCACGGTCAATGCCGTGATTATGACCGTGACTACTTTCAAATTTTAAAAACAGTCACGGTTATAGTCACGGCTTTGACCGTGACTATTGTGGTCAGAGCGGCTCTGACTGCCTCGCTGACATCGTCAATTACGAAGGGTTTAGTCACGGTCCTGACCGTGACTATGACCGTGACTAAAAAATTATATAAAACAAACACTTAGCGTTTTTTTTAAAAACCTACGCACACAAACTCCCAAACCCTAACTTCCTCTTCCTTCTCTCTTCCCTCTCTTCCAGATTAGATAGTGCCGCCGTCGCCGCCTAGCCGTCGCCGCCTAGCCGTCCGCCGTCACTGTCTAGCCGTCCGCCGTCGTCCTCCGGCCGCCTTCGTCCACCTTCTTCCGTCGGCCCTTCTTCAGTCAAGGTTATGTGTTCTGTTCATCTTATTTTGTAATATTTGATTAAAATTCCAAAAATGCATGATTGTATACTCAAATGCATGATAAGATGCATGATTTTTAGTTTCATATCATTTTGTAATCTTCAAAAGTTGTATGTATGATTTATTATATGCATGATTTTTAGTTTCATATCATTTTGTAATCTTCAAAAGTTGTATGTATGATTTATTATATGCATGATTTGTAGTTTTGCATGATAATTTCGTTTTATATGTTTCGTATGCATGATTAATATATGTTCAAATGTAGATTATTTTATGTTTAATATATGTTCATATGCATGATTAATATATTTTCGAACTAATGCGTGCTTATACAATTAGTATCATGTTTAACATATATGTTTAGTGTTTGATTTGCATGCCTCTCTATACATATGCACTACTTTAAATTTAATTTCCGAAAATATTTAATTTAGGTTAATATTTAAAAAAAACTGTTTAAATAAATAGCCCCTCGTGTTAAACTTCCAAAAATAGTTTAACACGTTTAAATATAATTTCCTTAATATCCATTAACAAAATATTAAACATTTAAATTTAATCCTGAAAAAAACTGGACGTATAAACGTATACGATAACATTTAATTGTTATAATGGAATTAAAACGTATAATTCTAACACATAATTCTAAGCCTAAACGTATACTATAATATTTAATTGTTGTAGAAATTAAAACGTATTGTATTTTTGGCTAAGAATACCTGTCGGAGTATAAACTTAGCTTAAAATAGAGCCTGTTTAATATAGTACTTTCTACGGATTTTTGTTTCCATATCAATATGCAATCAAAAATAGAATCTAGCTAATAAAAAATAGAAGGTACAAATTAACTAAATAATTAATATATATAATGACATGGCAGGATTATTTGGTGCTTTGTATGCTCTTAAAAAGTTCCTCTTATATATATATATATATATATATATATATATAGGGGTGAGATGGGTGAGATCTCATACTAACTAGTTCTCCCATGCTAACTCGTGAAAACTCCGACAACCGGTGGTATTTTTGGCTCAAAGTTTTTGTGTATGTTCCTCATCAAGTCTAGTTCATCTATACCAAATTTGAGCAAAAAATTCAATCGGGAAGGTCATCAAATGATTTTTGAAAGAAAACTGGTCCGGAAAATACATATAAAATGCAGTTTTCTTTCAAAAATCATTTGATGACCTTCCCGATTGAATTTTTTGCTCAAATTTGGTATATATGAACTAGACTTGATGTGGAACATACACAAAAACTTTGAGCCAAAAATACCACCAGTTGTCGGAGTTTTCACGAGTTTGCATTTGATCTCTTACCTATATATATATATATATATATATATATATATATATTGATTTTGTCCTTGCTGCCTTGCATATATACTCCGTATGATTTTAAGTGGAGCTAATCATGTTTCCTTTCATATGGTCTAAATTCATGGCTTACATAGTTACATCTTAGCAATGGACAATATGCAAACTCAAATCAATATCGTCACGTTGTCGGAAAGTTGATACCTCACTCTCACATATCCTATATCAGCTACTTTGCTCATAATCATACTCGATTCATGTAGCACCTTTGAAACACGAATACCTCATCAGGGTACCAAATCATACTTTAGGATACTTGTACTGTACGTTCCCGGGTCGTATCTGCAATTTTAAAAGTTTTCATTTTTTGATAATTATTTTAAAATTTCGGATACTCGTATCCTGACGGACGGATACACGTATCAACATTTAAAAAAACAACCAAAATTTACATAATAAAATTCTTAAAAAATGAAAAGCTAAAAGTAATTTTTACCTTGTTTTTATGTGGTACACAACTAATGGGCCTATTTCTAATTCATTCATTTCTAATTTACTCATCCTCATATCCCTAATTCTAATTATCCCTGAAAATTAATAACTCTAGCGGAAATACGTATTAGAACTTTTAAAATATTGTTTTTTATCTTCAACATTCTAGAACTTTTGAGTAACTGCACTTTTAATTTCAAAATTGTAGTTGTTTGACTTAATTCTCGTTTTAAACTAATAACTTATTAACCATATTTATATTTCGAGATACAATAGTGTATATGAGATAAAATATGAATTTATGTCTAAGTATCTTGAAAATGTAAAATGCTCCAATGTCATGAATGGATAGACGTAAGAGCGTAAGAGGATAATATATGTATATTTTTTCAAAAAAAAATTGTAATTTAATATTTATAAGTGCGCCCCTATAACTTTTAATATTTATAAATACACCCCATAACTTTTAATATTTATAAATATGACCTTGTATTCATATCCTACTTCTTTTTTTTTCATTTAAATTTTTTTTTGTATCCTACTTCTTTGTTGTATCTCCATACTCGTTTCCGTGTTTCCGCGTTTCCGCGTACTCGTATTGGTGTTACATAATCCATGTGTTGCTCACCGGGAAACAATTATTCGAGTTTTAGTACATTTGGAAGGACACCCTAATAAACATGACATTTTCCTACGTAGTTACTCTGATTTGCATCTTTAGGGATTTTATGACTCTGGGTGGGCTAGCTAGCTACCCCACATAATCGTTTTGCTTGGTGATTTTCCTCTTTCTTGGTGTACCAAAAAGGCAAAAAACAGACCACAATGTCCTGATTTATGCCAAAGTTGATTATCACTGATAAGTCCGTATTTTGACACGTATTTGATGCGTGTTGGGATCGGTTTTGATGGTTTTCCCTAGCTTTAAGGTGTTGCAAGTCTCAATTTTAGCTCAAGTTATGTTTATCGGGCGTTGGTTCGAGTTTTGTGTTGTTTGTAGTCAAAATCAGGGAATTTGAGCCCGACACCGGCACTTGAGGAACAATCGGGATGATTTGAGAAGCATTTGAGAATGATTTGATAGCTTTGGAGGTCACCGGAAGATTCACGATGAAGATTTGAAGGAAAAAAGAGCTTTAGGATTGGTTATGAGATCAAAAGAAGATGAATGAAGCTTGAAAACGACGATCAGGATGACCTTCTGTCAATCGTTCAAGCATATCTCTTTGTAGAAACATCCAATGTACACGATTCAAGTTCCATAGGAAAGCCAACTTCAAGGGCTACAAATCATATGAAGACACCTTTGCGAGAATCTGAGAGGAAGAAGGTGAAAACAGACGATGAAGTCAGATGATCTCTGCTGCGATTTCAGAAAGACACCTTCCACCGTTTTGATCATATCTCTTGATTGGATGATTCAAATCACATTCGGCAAATTGGGGTGGATAGATGACTTCATTATCTACAACTTTCATGAAGAAGTTTTGTCAAATTCGGAATTTACGTAGGCACAATCGTGCCCTCAAAGTCAGACACGATCGTGCCTGAAGAGAAAAGCACCGCGAAGCTACTGCCAGCCAGGCACGATCGTGCCTGGGGGGAGGCACGATCGTGCCTGCCCAAAATGCGCATTTTTGCTCCGGAGGCACGATCAAAGGCACGATCGTGCCTGGCATCGTGTCTGGCTCCGGAAATCCTAATTCAGCTCAAATTTCACCCGATTTTTCTATTTAAACAGCCTGTAAACCCCCGTTTTCGAGGAGGAGCTTAGAGAGAGTGCCTAGCACGAATTTTAGAGGGCTTTTAACCTTGTTCATCAATCTTTTGGGATTCTTTGTAAGTTCCACCTTTTTAATTAATGACAATTAATTCTTTTTATTCCAATTCTATTGATTCTTCAATTATGAATTGTGAGTAGTTTTAATTAGGGATTTGGGATTGATGAAGGGGTTAATCGTGATGTATGGCTAGATTCTTTTCGGTTTAATTGCATGAATGTCGTTTAATTTGTGTTTGAATAATTTAATTGATATCTTTTGTAACCTAGAATCGCGACTAGAATTACAATTGCATGTAGAATAAATTAAGAGAGATCTAATTTGTTCTAGGACACATTCACACACACTTAATCGTTCGCTAAAAGATTAGTAGCGATTAAGGGGCCGTAAGCTCGCTCGTCTTGGCAATAATTTAGGATCCTGTCGCATGAGAGATCAGCCTGGTCGCCTAAATTATTGTACTCTACGCCGCGAGAGCGGTAAGAACTTAGTAATGATTAGCTAGGCTCAATTAAATTAATTTCATGTAATTAGGCCTGATCTGCCAGAAATCTGGTTACCCCGGAATCGATCCCTGTTCCCTTCATCATTAATTAGAAAGAACTCCCTAGGTTAATTGTTCGCATTAGTTTTATTTTCCAAACCAACCAATCTCGCACGACGCTTTTATTTTATTTTCTTTTTAATCGCTGAATTTAATTAATTGTTGATTCCCTTTTGTCCGTCTCTGTGGAGACGATACTCGTACTTACACCACTATATTACGATCTATTTTAAGTGCGAGAAAACACACATCAATCATTCTATGGCCTCTCTAGCATGTGAATTGATATGGCTAAAGGCATTATTATACTCTTATGGTGTTTTCCATATTCGACATATATGTTTACCTCTATTGTGTTGGCCAGGTTATGCTCAATATTGCTTCTAATTCCATCTTTATGCAAGATATTTTCTAGATGTAACACGTTCAACGTATCATAAATCATCATGTGAACAGTTACATGATATTTTCATCAAGGCTCTTGATGCTCCACAATTTGCTTATTTGTCAGTCAGAGTGGACACTCTTCATCTCCACGTGGCTAAGGGAGTGTTTGGGATTGCTTCTACTTTAAAAAAGTGATTTTTTAAAGTGATTTTGGAGAAAGTACTTAATAGTAAAAGTTGGTAGTGTTTGAGAAAAAAGTGATTCTGAAAAAGTAAAAATTGGTAGTGTTTGGTAAAATAAGTGCTTTTTGTGTAATAGGAAAAGTGAAAAGCAGTTTAAAGCATCCTTCCACATGCTTCCAGCTTTTAGCTTTTAAGTGATTAATTTAAACAGAAACTGTCATTTGAAAACACCCATTTCCGCTTTTTTTAAGCAAAAAGCTCAAAAGCACTTTTATTAAGCAATGGAAAACACTCCTTAAATATAACCATTGAAATTGATTATTTCGTACCTTAGCTTTGACCTAAGACAACTACACAAGATTTGTGTTCCTTAATTATATAAAACTTTTAATGTAGTTTATGAATATGTAATTCTATTTTTAAAAATTATTTGAGTGTGAACATGAATATGATTGCTTTACCATCGGTCAAATATCGTAGTGTAAAATGCCTAACAATTCGAGACAAAGGGAGTATTTTTTAATTTCAAAATTTAAATTTATAATTTATTTTTTTTATAATTCTTTTTTAAAGTCAATAAAAGAAAATTTGCTACCTGAAAAGAGCGAATATTTTTACCTGATATATCAGTTGTTCCACGTATACTTGTGCAGGTATATTTGCAAATTGCAATTTTGCACCTTTCCCCAAATTAAGGGAGTGTTTGCAATTGCTTCAACTTTAAAAAAGTGAATTTTTAAAGTGATTTTGGGAAAAGTGATTAATAGTAAAAGTTGGTAGTGTTTGAGAAAAAAGTGATTCTGGAAAAGTAAAAGTTGGTAGTATTTGGTAAAATAAGTACTTTTTGTGTAATAGAAAAAGTGAGAAGCAATTTAAAGTACCCTTCTACCTGCTTCCAGCTTTTAGCTTTTAAGTGATTAATTTAAGCAGAAGCTGTCATTTAAAAACACTCTTTTCAACTTTTTTTAAGCCAAAAACTGAAAAGCGCCTTTTTTAAGCAAACTCAAACACTCCTTAAGGCTCTATTTGCAAACACAACTAAAAAAGCACTTTCTAGCTTTTGAATTAAAAAAGTTAAAAAAGATGTTTTCAAATGACAACTTCTACTTAAATGAATTACTTAAAAGCTACTCCGTAAAAGGTAGAATCTGCTTTTTACTTTTTCTATTACACAAAAAGAACTTATTTTATCAAACACCACCAACTTTTACTTTTTAAAATCACTTTTTTCTCAAACACTACTAAGGGTCTGTTTGCAACAGCTTATACTTTTAAAAAAGTGATTTTTTAATGAAATGTGAAGACGTGATTAAATAAAAGTTGATAGTGTTTGAGAAAAAAGTGATTTTGAAAAGTAAAAGTGGGTAGTGTTTGGTAAAATAAGTGCTTTTTGTGTAATAGAAAAAGTAAAAACACTTTTGACGCGGAAGCCGAGAAAAATAAAAGTTGTAGAGGTCGTTTGGCACCACTGTTTTTCGGCTTATCAGGCTTATCAGCCAACTTTTTCACCAAACACGTAACTTTTGCTTTCGCGTGCTGAATTGTGTAATAAGCAGAAAAAGTAAGGTTGGAGTTACTTTTCTGGCTGTATTGGCTGAAGTTACTGTAGATGACCATTTTAGCTATTTTTACATATAATTTTTTCTTTATTATATTAATAAAATATATTTTAAATATAATTTTTCTTATATCAGCAAAATCTGTCAATGCAGCCACTTCAGCCAGAACTTCATAAATTACAGTAGAATCAGCCAAATCAGCCGATTTTCATGCTTCCAAACGGGCTCGTAGTGTTTGGGAAAATAAGTGTTTTTTAAAGCCAAAAGTTGAGAAGTGCTTTTTTAAAAGTAGTTACCAAACCAATCCTAACCGTTTGCGAACACAGCCTAAAAAGCATTTGCCTTATGCGCGTCGACGATCTAAAGTCCTCACCAATGGGTTTCTGCGGTTGCTTCGACGGAGGAAAGAAGATGAAAGAAAGAAAACGATCGGCTTCATACAAACTTCCTCCTGATGAAGCTCCCGAAGTTCCAGACACATTAGCTCCGGTGGAAACCACGGACGCTCGCATAAAAGCCGCAGAAGCTGCCCAGAAAAGGCTAATCTCAATCCCTTTATCGCTCTTTCTGTTTCCCCCTTCTTCTTTTTCCTACTTGCTTCGGATTGCGGAAGTCGGAAAACTGTCATCACCCAGATTTGTATTTTTTTCAAAATAGTTTCACTAAAAAAAATCCCATCTTTATACTTCATTGACCGTAAAACTGAAATTAAACTTCTCTCCCATGTTAATCAGTTTGGATGATTTGTTTTTATATGCTTTAAATGGCCATTTTATGCAGACAAGATGAGTTTAAAAACTCTGCTGTAGGAAAAGCTGCACTAGCCGTTCAGAAAGCAGCAACTGCAAATACTCACAGGGGAGAACCAGCTCTCAAGGTGGTGATTATTTTGAAACTGTTCTTTCAGATTTTTGCAATACTACTAGATCTCTGACGCCTATCTTTCTAATATTTTCTTGTGTATCTCGTTCAGTTTGCCTGCTTGGTAATTGCATATTCAGGCTGTGTCTACTGCAAATGTTGACCCGCCTGTGTCTAGTTTCATATGTTTTTTATGAGGCAAATGATAACAATAGCTGAACCCGAATTATTTATAGGCTTGGATGTTTTGTTCCAAATGATATTCAATACCCCTAGGGAAAAAGGATAGGGGTAATTTGAGTTTGCATCCCATATTATTGTTCAAATTGGACTTTGCACCCCGTTTTTTAAAAACTTTGTTTTTTCACCCCAACTTCATGTGAAAGGACAAAAATGCCCTTGATCAGAATATGTTGAAGGCCAACATAATTGTTAATGGAGGGGCATTTTTGTCTTTTCACATCAGGTTGGGGTGCAAAAACAAAGTTTTTTAGAAACGGGGTGCAAAGTCCAATTTGGACAATAAAATGAGGTGCAAACTCAAATTATCCCAAAAGGATATGTTTAAGCATTAATGATGATTGATGATAGAATGTTTCATGTGATTTTCGAAAGAGCATTCAATATTTTTTAATGATTATTGGAATCATTTGATGAATTATTTGTTGTTGGAATGCTACAACAACATCCAAGTCTTAGTCCCAAAAGATATTGGGGTCGGCTAACATGAATCGATACATGATGTCACCACCAAAAGGAAAAGAAAGAAAATAAAGAAAAAAAAGCTATTATAAAAAAGATAATATAAATCGAGATGAATATACCTAAAAATGATAAAATTAAAGGATAAAAATAATGTTTATATATATAAGGATGAAAGAATAAAAAACAAGAAGAAAAAAGATGAGGGGTAATAATAATACGAGATCACTCCAATGGTAAAAATGAAAAATAGTCTCCAATGGTTTAGTTAATTTTTGAAAATCATCAGGAACTGCTGCTTGAAGTTTAACCTTTAGCCGTAATGAATGTGGTTTAGCATTACCTTTTTATTAATATACATTTCGTCCTGGGTTTTATATTTGATTTGTTGACGTTTTTCTTTCTCGTTTTCAGTGGCAAATGGGCTAATGCTTTCTCATGCCAACTTCTGGTGTACATTGTAAGTATTACCATAAAGACTTGCAGAGTGGTTATTCACATTTTTATGTAGTATGTGCTTTGAAACAAAAAATTTATAGAGCCCCATCCGACTCTATTGTGGAGTCATAGACATTTGTGCTTCCACAATAACCGTTCAATTTTATAGTGGAAGGTCATACAGTCATACCTAAATAATGAATGGTTGTGGTGTGTCCGCATATGCCATATGATTCCATGATGGAGTCATATGGAACTCCATAAAATTTTCCCGCTCATGCCACCTTTAATTTTACATGAAGCCTTTTACATAGATCTTTTTGGATAATTTCTTTGTTTGATTTAAAAAATTGAATAACCTTATTGAAATGAAATCCCAAATAGGGAAAAGTTGTGGCCAAGAAAATTTGCTTGAAGGCTTGTTTGGTGACTTTGGTCTGGGGATTCCAGAGAGGAAGAAAGTGAAAGGATGATTTTTTAAATGTTATTTCAACATTTAGATGGTTGCAAATAAAGTGAACATAAAGAACTATATATAAGTACATTACCAGACTAATCATAATATCATATAGTTATTTCTGATCTAACACTAACACATATGGGATAGATAGTAAAACACTAAAACAAAAAACAATCCTTCTGCCCCCTTCCCTCAAATAGCCCAATATCAAATAAGCCCCTATGGGTTTCATTCATAATACATCTGCCATTTATAAATTGATTCATTAATAAAAAAGGCAATCATTTGATAAGCTCTTTATACTGAAACTGGCATCTTCACTTATGAAACTCCTCACCATCACTTTTCTGTATTGCACTGTGATGTGTTGATTCTTCACATTTCTTAGGCCCCTTTTTGGATTTTAAGAACTAGAGAATTAGGGAATTCATGGGCGCTCTTAATTTCTGAGATAAGAGGCACAATACGCATCATGTGCACCATGTGGTGGGGTTTGAGCGGTTACTGGTAGTGGGGATAATTCTCCCATAGTTCCAAAGTGACATTGTTAAAACCTCCGTGATCAAGTTCTTAGCCATTAAAACAACTCAAACAAGACATTCTATTTTAGATATAGTGATAAATATCTGCAAATGCATACCAATGTTGCACGGAAATGTGGGAAGCACGGGGAGACATGAAACGTGAAACATCACCTTTTAATAGAAAAACAAGTGTTTAGAGAGTTTTCGTAGAGTTCTGAAATGGAAACATACTCTTTCCCAAGAGTTTCGTGCTTCATGCATACACTGAGTCTCTGAAATTAACTACTCGTTACATCAATAATTATTCAAAATATAGAACTATATATATCTTCTATTATCCTTCACAATTCTTTTGTAGAATGAACTCTTCTTGTCGAACTTCTACCCTTGATAAAAAAAAAGTTTACAATCGAGTTTTGCCAATATAGTTGATGTTTTCGCAGGATTCTGCATGTTGTAAATGAAAAGGAGAACATCAAATAGCAGAATATCAGATATGTGTAAAAGCTCTAGCCTTCCCGGGTTACAAGCAAAAATTATGTGCAGCACATACTTGTCATATTTCAGCAGTGTTATTTAACTGCATGCAATTATTTTTTCGCACATTATGTGTATTGTATGTTTCATAATCTCAATTGGATAGTTGTTCATCCATTCAAAATGAAATAAAAATGTATATTTCATGATGATATTAATGACTCACTGTGATGTTGTTTACACCCATTGCACTAGCTAACATCTGGTCTGTCTTTCTTTTAAGGGTTCGTTTGGGTGAACTCCCATTTGAGCTGAGATGAGAGGTCTCCTTAAGCATTCGTTTGAATGGAGAGTTTTGAGCTGTTTTGGATGGCAATGTGGCACAGAGTATGTCTTTGTATGTAGTGTAGATCAAATAATATGTGAGTTTTGAGTTTATATTAAAACGAAGAATTATGTGACTGATCAAATAATATTTTAGCGCCTTCTCAATGTTCTCATCGTTTTTAAAAATTCTGTTTTTAAAATTTTTTTGGCCTTAACAAAGATGAGGGTGTGTCTGCAATATCTATGCGCGGTTGAAGTTGAGGACAAGTTGGATACATTAATAGTACGGAATATATGATAAAGAAGCTGTCTGGAAATGCTTGGTTGCAGCAAAACTCTCTCTCAAAGGCCCTCACTTGATCTTGTATGTTGAACACAACTTTTTGAATGCCATACATGCCAAAGTGAATATTTTCTTGATCTCTTCTTTTGATCACACAAATGTTAATGGGAAAGATGCAAACTTATTAAAAGCGAAATAAAGCGTTAAAAAGCGAGAAGCGTAGGTGAGCGATGGTCTATCGCTAAGCTTTACAGAAGCGAACCCCTGTGAGAAAGCTTCGCTTTCTTCCGCCTTTCCCTGAAGTGCCGCTGCGCAAAAAGTTTCGCTTTTCTTCGCGTCTCACGAAAAGCGACGGGTCAAAGCTGACCAAGTTTTTTTTAAAGTTGTTTACCTAGGGTTATGATAGTTCCCAACTTCCCATTCCTTCGTTCGAAGACTCCTGGTCTTCTTCTTCAGAACCGCAACAACCAGGAGAGGTCGCCAATCTGCTGAGCCGTTGAGGACCTGAGTTATTAGCCTTTCTTCTTCCAACTGCTACACTTCTCCTTTCTGTCGATCTGAGGTATTTCTCTTAGTCTGCTATTAGCCTATTAGTCATTAGTTCATGCTTCTAATCATCTTCCCCTTTCTGCCCATTCTGGAGCTATTTTTTTTTAACGATTCTGGAGCTGTCTTGTAAACTGGAATTGGTTCAACTGGTCAAGTTTAATACTTCAATTGCAGTTCTGCCATGTGTGTGATGTTGTTAATTATTCAAAAAGTCTTGGTGTACACCCTGGGTTACACCTTGGGGTACACAATATATAAACCTTCTTTTTTTACTGCTTTCTTTACCCCTCTTCTCACACAGCTCTCTCATCCCCATTCCTCACGCACATTTCTTTCTCTCCCACATCCCTCTCTGTTCGTTCTCTTCTTCCCACCTTTCTCTCTGTTTTTTTATTTTTTCTTTCCAGATATCATGGATGATTTTCTAGCATATTTGATGGTGGATGGAGAAGTGACCGGAAACGATGGAGGTTTGGAAGATACCCCTTACCTGCGACGGATGACGGACAACGGAAATGGAAGAAACGTGGAAGCTCTGAACGTCGAAAATGGGGGAGCTGTGAACGAAGAAGATGGAGTTGCGAACGGAAATGGTGGATCTGTGAATGAGGAAGATAGATGGTGGTCCGAACAACCCTAGGGACGAAGACTTAGGTGGGACGGGTGGCAGACCTGTGACACAAGGCATCAACGAAGTTCCGACATTTGACGGCCGAGATGATTACAGCTGTGACGGGAAGAGAATAGCAGGGAGAACATGAACACAGATGTTGGAGGTATTTTCTTTGACATACAGACAACTTACATACTGAGTGTCAGTGTGTACCGACAATTAATGTCGTTGTGTACAGAGTAGTGTCGGTATGTATAGACAACTGAAGAAATCCTCATTGAGTTGATGCATACCTACAAAGATGAATGTTGTATCTGTGAATGAGTTAATCACTAGTGTTCAATTTACCCTTATTCAGATTTTTTAAGTGGAAAATTTATAGAGGAGTTATTTTTAATGAGTGCATTGACAATAATAAAGTGTTCAAAGTTTGTTTCAATTTATCACCGTAATGACTTCGTCAATGAGTCATTGTAAACAGATAATACAAACAGATAGAATATATATTTCCTTAATCTCCTAGCCATATCTAAAAGTTACCGATTGGAAGTTACTAAAGGTGTATTCCACCCGAAAGTGATCTTTTTTCTTTCCCTTTGTTTATAGAGAGCAGATGCAATACTTATTTTAGAGGGATGTGGTGACAGAGGTGTGGAGATAAAAATACTTTATGCTAAGTATGAAAAAAAATTCAAATGGGTGTGCTTAAAATGTATGTAACTTTCAAGAGTGACGAGGTCATGGAAAGTTATAATTTATCGTTTCTATTTTGTTTGATGTTTGTGAAGAAAGGTATCTTTATGCCAATGTATTTCTTCGTAGCACAAAAGTATATGTTAGGTAGTGAGTAATGGAAAAGAAAGGTGTATTTGATTTATATGTGCGAGAGTATGAATTTTGGTTCCTAGGTCTAGCTAGTTGGCTAACTATTATTGGTTTCATGACTTGGTAACAATATATAACTTGGTCCGTCAACCCTTAGTTCACCGAGAAAACATTATCTTGTAAAGGTAGGCGCTTTGTTTGAGATGTGATCGCTGAGTGCTTCAAACCATCAAAATTGATTTCAGATTTCCTTTCTTTTGACTGGTAAGTTCTGTATTTGTGATTAATAAAGGAACCCTATTAAAAGGGGAAACAAGTCAAGTATTTTTGTTTGGAGAGTTTTTAAAATACCACTACATGCATACTATGTTGTAACAGCCATTCAATGTCTATATTTTAATTTCAATTGTTCTTCCCCACAATGTAAATAAGCATCTTAAGTGTTCCATAATTTTGATTCCATTTTTAAAATGGGTGGTAGAATCTCTGCAAGTAATGCTATGTAATTAGCTACATAGCTCCCATACTGAAGACATGAATGATAGAAGCTACCGTTTCCAAAGCACAGCGAGAAATTCAAGCACGCTTTGAAGGTAAATAAGAACTCTTTATTTTCTTTATTTTCTAGTACCTTTTAAATATTTACTCATGATTTAATGGAAAAAGGATGCTTTATTTGACCATGTTATGACCTTAATCTATAGTCTGATAGTGACTGCCAAGGTTAAGCATGAAAGTTATGAAATGGAAAAATTACTACTTTTCATTGTGATTTTTGTCTTATACTAAGTTCTTGTTTTTGCATATATGCCATAAATTCAACTTCTCGTAATTTTGGAGTCTTAGTTTGTTTTTCCAATAATCTTAAATAAATTTCATTAGTAATATAATTGTACGTGTCTTAGTTAGAATTGATAAAGTCATTTGTGTTTCTGCATGTTTGTAAGTGTATGTGAAATAGCATGTAATTGTCTGTGTACACCAACATTAATGTATGTACGCTTCTTATTGCTAACTTTGTCGACACTGGTTGTGGTTACAGCGCTAGAGTGTGGAGTCATGGTCATGGCGTTTGCGGAGAATTTGTTGTTGCAATTACCATTAAAATCAGGTTGTGACTACGCCAACATGTGGAACGTTAGATGTCAGTTTGCTATACCACTTTGGCGTCTGAAGAAGAAAATGATTGACATTTATTGCTCCTTTTTCACTTGTAAATAAGTTGGAGATGAAGTGGGGTAGCGAATGTTGAAGTTTTAGATTTGGATTTGAACATGACATTAAGTTTGTTGTAATGTAATTTAACGTGTCTTCAATTTTTATACTTGTGTGATTAAAGACAACTTATATTACTACTCGTGAACTTGGACCGCAAGTCCCAAGCGCAAATGTATGAATTTTATATTTAAATTTGAATGTGACATTGGGTTTGATGTAATGTAAGGATCATGGTTTATGCATTTTGATACTGTTATAGTTGACAGACTTGTTATAACCACACATTAAGTACTTATACAGACACTATTGTCGGTGCACACAGACAAAAATAACAACACACGTATTATTGTCGGTGCACACAGACAATAATAGGAATAAGACACAAGTATTATTGCAGTGTACACAGACAAAAATAACAACACACGTATTATTGTCGGTGAACAATAATTACAACAACACAAATATTATTGTCGGTGTACACAGACAATAATAACAACAATACACATATTACTATCGGTGCACACAGACATTAATAATAAGCACGCCTATTACTGTCGATGGACATAGACACATTTCATTAACATACAATATGATACCGCAAACCCATTCCATTACATAAACTTACAACTGTTTATACAAATAGAGGAAATGTTTACAAAATGTAGATGCATTAAAGTTTGACATTCAAGTTACAACCTTGTACAAAATTTAATGTCATGTTAAAATCTAAATCTAAAACTTCAACATTTGCGATCACCACTTCATCTGCAACATGAGGAACATTGACACTCGCTTTTTTCCCGGCTCTTACCTAAATAAATGCAACATATGTGTTAGTGCAATTTAAAAGACAACTAATTGATATATAGCACAATGAGAAAGATGTAGTTCCGAATCTCAGTTTCATTGGGAATTCATACAATTGTCCTGTTCCTAGATTTTTTGAATTTTAAAAAACCTTAGATATAGGAAGCTCCTTGATCAAGTGGGTGGGTTCCTTCGCCAACAGTCTGATAATTCACACATGTAGTAACGTATCAGTACTCACAGACAATATAAACCGAAGCATTGGTGCACACTGACACTAATAATAAGTAGTAACGTATACATGCTTACGCCATGCAAAATGTCATCCAAATTGTTTTCCCAAACACAAGGCACCGATGGTGTCTCTGGCACATAATGAAGAAGTTACCTGAAAAGATGGGTGGACTTGTACATAAAGATGATATCATGACAACCATACATGATGCCGTTTATGACTCTCAGTACATTACGACCTTTGAGGAAGATTGGAAAGCCATGATCGAAAGGTACACTCCAATATTCATTAACTAAGTTTCACTTTTTACGTGTCACAGATAGATTATGTATTGCACGGACAAAAAGTATCAGTGTAGTTTATTTCATGAGTAGGACCTTTTGGCACTTAAAGACACTTTAACAACACTTTTTGCATTTCACAGACAGAAAGTGTCGGTATACCTTATTTCATGCCTGGGACCTTCTGCCACTTACAGACACCATACCGACACTTTGTGAATTTCACAGACAGAAAGTGTCGGTGTACCTTATTTCATTCCTGGGACCTTCTGCCACTTAAAGGCATCACACCGACACTTTGTGAATTTCACAGACAGAAAGTGTCAGTGTACCTTATTTCATGCCTGAGACCTTCTGCCACTTAAAGACACCGTACCGACACTTTGTGAATTTTACAAACAGAAAGTGTTGGTATATTCTCGTACGCCCAAACCTATACAAATGGAAAAAAGGGTGATAAATATTTGTTATTAAATATAGTAAGTAGGTGTGTTTATATTGGATCATACCTGTAACACATGCGGGAAACCATACATCGTATTCTTCGCTTTTTCGTACGTAGGATCATCTTTCTTGCTTTCCTGAAAAACCTTCGGTTGGCCTACCAAGACTCACAGACATTTGCTATAAAACAGGGAAAATAGTTTTAAAATAAACGGGGTTGTGTTTTGAGAAACTGATAGATTTTTCTCCAATATAAATAACCTAACACATTTTTCTTAAAATGTGTTATGGCTTAGATAAAAATGAATTGGGAGAACTACACCTATATTGCTTTGCCTTAGTCAATTAAAAAATAGTGCAGTAGAATGTCTCACCCTTTCCATCTTTTATTCTGGGCTACACAAGTCAAAGGACCAGACGAATGAGTTATTTGAGGGGATAGAGTTGGTCTGTTGTACATTATAGTAACAGTCTTATGCTTCTAAGGGCTTTAGATTTTCTAAAGCCTCACTCTTTCTTCCCTCTGTCTTAGGATATAAAGTTGGTTCAAACAGGCAATACTTAAGATAAGCACTAATCCAAGGTTTACAAAGATTATTCAGACCAATCACATCGGAAGCAATTAAGCTGTTTGACTCATTCAACCAGATGCACAAACATTACAACAAATTTAACAATGAATAGTGGTTCTAAAACTTAGCAAATTTATCATCCTTATAATTAAATATAGAAACTCAAATATACAAGCAACAACAAGTACTGATATCTCAATCTTGTTTATGTGGCATTCTTTACTAACGTACAGTGAGAGGATGAATTTTTTAAAAAATTGGGTAAAAATGTATGCCAACAACATAGACTTAATTAAAGGGGAGTAGGGCAAATCTCTATAATTTACCCAATAAATAATACACAATATATAATAATCATTCCTTGTGTTGCATTATTGACTAATTATTCATTAATCATTTTTCCTAAATTGTAAAACCTACTGATTATTTTATATTAGAGGAACCACTGAGGTTTCAAATAGTTTTTTACTAAAACCTGGACTTGACTGCAAATATACAGACATGTCAATTGATTAAAAGAGAGAGAGAGTATACAACCAATTTCAAAACACAACAAATTGACATTGAAGAAACGGTAAACAATATTCAAGTCAAATATAAAAGGTAAAACAAAAAAAATCGAGACTTTTCCGAAGTACATACCGTTCGGGTGTTTCGGGGAGGCGGGTTCGGACCATGTTTTCCGCTATGGGTTTCGGAGAGGCAAGCTCCCACAACATTTGAAGACAAACCGAGGATAGAGATGGAGGTCAGTCGTCGTTCCTTATACTTGGAGAATGGACCGATGACAGAGATGGAGGTAGGTCGTGGGTTCGAGAGATGAGGGAAACACAGAGGAGTGGGATATTGGCCGGAGCGGTTGTTGTACGAAGTGAGGAAGGCGGAGCGGGAATGGCTGGGGATGCGAGAAGGAGGCGTTCGATTTTTGAAGGGGAAGAGGTTTTTTTTAGCTCAAGACACGTGTGTGTGAAAGGTGTGGGAGGATGGGGTAAAAAAATATAGTCTCTTATATATGGTGTACCCCAGGGTGTAACCCAGGGTGTACACCAAGACTTTTTGTTAATTATTTCCAGTTTACAAGAAATTGTATTTTAGTCTGCCATTAGTTATTAGTTCATTCTAGTTCATTGTTCTGATCATATTCCCTGTAAAATTACTCAATGTTCTACCATGTGTGTGTGACCTTATATTTGTCCAGCCATATCCTCATCTTTGTGATGTTAAGGGATAAGTCCTGTTATTTACTTTGGCTTAAGACAGTTAAGATAGTTAATTACATTTATGACTACTTGTGCATTTTTTACATAAGTATACGTTATATATTTTCTTTAGTTTTTTTAAGCATCACTTTTTGTGAGAAAGCTTCGCTTAGCGCTTTCGCTTTGTAGCAAAGCCCAGGGTCATCGCTTTTGGACACTTTTCGCTTTAAAAAAGTTTGGAAAGATGTAGCGCCTGTATGGGTAGTTCAAGTAGTCACAAGGATGAAATTTGGAACAAGTGACTCATGATCGAGTCCCCCTACTATAAAGCAGTGTGTGAGTAACCTTTCAATGTAGGGCTCCTTGTACGCAAGGGGCATTGGTTTAACTTCTGTGTTTAACTGAATTATCATGACTTACAACTCCCATATGCTTTGTCGGGCCGGAGTGTAAGGGGTCTTTGGAATTTGGGATTAAACGTTTTGGAACAAGGGAAAGTTGTAGCTGACTAGGTGAGTATAGCCACAATAAGTATCCAACATACTATGAGCTCGTTTGGTAATATTCAAATCGGTTGTATTAGCTAATTTTGTTGAAATTTATGAACTTTTAGCTGAAGTGCTGTATTGATTGATTTTGCTGATTTTTGAAAAAATTATATTTAAATTAAATTTTTCTAATAAAATAAAGAAAAAAAATGAATAGCTAAAATGATTCTCTACAACAATTTTAGCCAACACAGTCAGAAAAGCAACTTCAACCATATTTTTTTAATTATTACAGAATTCAACGCGCGGAATCAAAAGTTACGTGTTTGATGAAAAAATTGGTTTGTAAGCTTGATAAGCCGAAAAACATGGACTCCATAGGAGCTCTATGATATTGAGTACTGCCGAAGTATTAGCTTTTCAAGGCTTGACAAGGACTCCTATGTAAAGTTGTCACGAGAAAATGATGTCCCAATACGCATACAAAAAATGGATGACACCCCGTTCGTGAGGCATCCCCGACCCCTTTGTGAGTACCAGATTTACATATAGTTCATTTTACCCAAAGAGAGTATACATATAGTTTACATAATAGAGATATTTTTATTTATTATTATTTAATTAAGTGACCATATTTAATAAAAAAAGAGAGTACATCCCTATATAATTTATCTTAGGATGTTTTTACTTGGACTGTAATTTGTTGATTTGGTCTGGTCTGATCTAATTTCTTTGTATTTTTATAACTATCCAGGTCTGGTCTGGTCTGTTCTGGGACAAATTAAACTTACTCGTACTTGTTTTGACAAAAAACTAGATTTTCACCCGCGCGATGCGCGGATGAATATTTACCAATTTGTGATTAAGAAGTTTATCATTAAAAGGCAAAAAGAATTGAACACATAAAGCGGTAAGTAACATATTAAATTTCCGTAGTTAAAGAGTGATTGAGACAGCGAGGAAGACGGGCCAACATAATATTTTTTGGGCAAAGGCAAATGTACCCAATAAAAACAGATATAACATTTCAAAGTACGAAGTGGTAAGTAAAACTGTAGAAGCTGCAACATAAAGTGATACTACAAATTCTGAAAGACCTCTTTGTAAACAACATTAGTAGTATGGTTGATCTGTTTGCCACCCTCATCACAAATCGATATTTTCAAGCCTTTGCGATTTGTAACTCTAGACGCTGCAATGTAAAGT